CCGACCAGACTCCCACGAAACGGGAGACAACAACGACCTCGTGTATTTTTTATAGGATTAGTGTATATTGTTGTCCGTGTATTTTTCTGTTCGTTCGCTTCAGACTTTCCACGGCGGATCGATCTTTGATGTACGGAACGTGTCGCTGCCCAGTGTGACGTGACCGACAAGATCACTTTCACACCCCTGACGATCGGACCTGGCGAGATCGTGACGTGTCTGAAGATTTTTCTCTGGATTCAGTTTTCAAGGTCTTTGTGATGTGCGATCGGGGAAAAATCCGGGATTTTCGGGTTTCGAGTAGGATCGACAATGGGAATTGTACGTTGTGTGACAAGTTTAGGGAATGATCGTTCTAGTTTTTTATACGTTTCGGACCGAATTTTAAGAATGTCTGAAAGAAGGTTGGTTTCAGTGGAAATATAACCATGCAGTGCAAACGAAAAAAAAGATTAAATTGAGGATGTATGATAAAGGGACATGAAATACTGACCATGCTCTACGTTATACTTTCTATCGCCACCCTCTGTGATTTATTCGGAGAGGACGAGTTTCGTTCCGATTTAGGTTTCGAAATGGCCTATGAATCTGTAGAATTTTGAAATTTATACTCCGTTAACTTTGAAAAATAGATTTTCGGAGTCTGAGGTTATAAATTTTTATAATTCTCTAGAAATTCAAGGAATCTGAAGCAATTGAATACAATTATTCGTGATTCTTGATATTCCAATAAATCTACAATTGTGCTTTCGAATTTATGAAATTTTGATATTTTTCTAATGCTTCCAATTACTTTATAAAATTTTATAATTCGAAGGATGTACATCGCGAATATGTTCGTGAAATTTCATAAATGTACAGAAATGAAATAGAAACATTCATAACTGATATGTGAATATATTTGCAGCTCTTAGTATTATGTCTGAATGTATAAAATTCTAAAATTTTCCTGTTCCTTTTAGTTAGCTTGCAAAACAGATTTCCTGATTCGGAGAACGAAAATATTAAAAATTTTCGCGAAACGTCGAAAACCTACAGAAATAAACACAGTCCTTCCTAATTGGTGATACGAGGTAAACGTGTGATAAACTTTCGAGTATCCTCAAAACGTAACCGACAACATGCAAGAGTGTTTCGTATTGCGTTTCACATTTCCACTGTGTTGCGGAATGAAACGAATAAACGAGGCACGGCCGCTAAGTCCGCGTTGCCGAACGTCCTCGCGCAGTTTCCGCGATGCGTACAATCGCTTCTGCCGATAGAGGATTTAATACAATCGGGTGCAGCAACGAAATCTTTGAATGTAGAATTGCTATCCAGCTTTTCAAAGGAAGGACACGGCTGGCCAACTACCCATTCCACTGCGCGCAAGGATTCAATGCAACCTACGCAAAGTCTGCACGCACACCATGACTCAGAACTCCGGCTGCTGCATGCATCTGAACAGCGTCCGATTTGAAAACAATGAAATCTTCCATACGAGTTAATCAGTGGCTGACGTCAGCTTTCCGAACCTGTTGTTCCTTTTCCTAAGTTTTCCAGCAATACACGACGTAAAGAGATGAAAATCAAGATCATGGAACAATTCTAAACGAATCCCGTCAAACTATGCTGATCGAGGAATGGAAAACACTCAAGTGTCATCGTAGAAGAAATTAATCGAAACAACAACCGTTCTTCTTCTTCTACTTTTTCTTCTTCTTCTTTTTCTTCATCTTATATATCCTACAGCCTTTGTCTTTCAAACTGGTGTAGATGTACTACGTTGAACTATTGGTTGAATAAAATACAGAAAAAATATGACCTTCGTCATTGTAGAAAAAATTAATTTTCTTCTTCATGAGTATCCTACACCCTTTGCTGTTCGTACTAGAGAAAACGTTTTCGACTATTAATCGAATAAAATGTTGAACAAATCAAATCTTAGAAAGTAGCAATGTGCACTAGGTATCGAATGTAAGAACAGTTGAACGCAATCGGCGGTCGGTGGAAGATTTTTATGCTAGCCCGGTTTTGTCCACGATTTTCGAAGCGGCCACCCCACGCATGACCGTGCACCCCACTCCCGATCGAAACTCATTTATACTTTTACCACCACTCCACCGGCCTGGCCATGGAATTGTTTATGACACGATTCGTTTGATTATTAGCTGTTTATACGCGGTCATCGATCGCGTCGGTAACTGCCACGCGGTATTTCGACAACAGAACGCATCCGAGCCGTGTTCCGGCAATAACCCTTCCCGTACGACTGCTTACCCGTGCATTTTTCCCCCCGACCCTTTCGGACGGACCGACGAAACTGGTTCTGCCGGGTTCACGATTCAAGCTGGATACTCATTTTCGGGACCCTCAGTTCAACGGGAACGTTCGCTAGGATCAGGGATATTTTAGCATCGTGGAAGTGCTTAATTCCTCGTACTCGATGCAATTCCGACGATTACACCGAAGAAAATTATTGTGCGCTCTTCTCTTTCTGCCTGGGCGCGCAACAGATACAGGATCCTTCGAATAGTTTACTTAACGAGCGGTCACGAAGCTCGTTGCTTTATATTTCCCACTAAAAAATGTTTCGGTTTATTCTAGATTTATTAACTTCGGATAGTTTTATTGGATTTTGTCGTTCGCGATACGTGGTATTATATTAGTATTCAATTGAACGGACTTCAGAACATATTCTTAGTATAGGTGCCGAATGTATCTTATTGATCGTGTTTCGTTAACATTTTATTTTATAAGGAAGTACTTTTATATTTATCTGAGAAAATTTAATTATCCGTGTATTCTGTATTTTATTAAGCGTTTTAGAACACATTTGGGATTACCGCGACTCTTTGCCTTGCAATATGAATATCGTTCACGTTCCAGTCAGATGTTTTTGATTAAAAATGTTCAATTACGTTCATCGAGTTTTTAAGTGTAACCTTCTTTTGCACTTAATTTTTTTTGTTTCCTGCAACACGTGCCATTCTATTCAGCTACCGTCGCGTCGGGAGAGAACTTTGAGGGAATCTACTTACGTCGCATAAGACCTGACCAGATCTACTTCGACGGAGAAGTGTACGGATGATTCACTAGTTTTCACGTTCCACGGGTTATTTACGTTACAATGTCCATATTGTTTACGATCCGTTAATTTAAACAGTTTTTTTTCTTTTTCCTGTCTGAAGATACCGCGATCAAAGTATTCCGACTTCAAGAAACGTTAACCGTAAAATTTGATTCATTCGATTGTGATATTATTCGAATGAAAAGAAACATATTTTTTATTTTTACAAACTCCACTAACCGTACGAGATTACGCTTAAATATCATTCACTATCGCACAATAAGTCCAGGTTTTGTTTTCATTAAAGCCGGTTTTATTAACACGCGCACATTAACGTGACACATATATAGAAATGTTAATAGATGACGAATAAAACATTCGTGTCATTGATATTTTAATTAAGCGGCCACGTGACTCCGACATTCATATTATCGCCACCTCCGCCCGCCTTTTAATTTAATAATCGTAAATTAATTTGTAACCATCACTTTATTAACGATCGTTGTTCCAATCGGATTCTTTACACTTGTTTTACGCACATTCGTTCGATAAAGTTCCGTAAGGTAACGTATCACTTTTCCACTTTTTTAACGTCACCCTTATCGTAACATCGCGATTCCTCGACGATACAGATTCCCGCGCGTCATTTCGCAATTACGTTTCTTAATTATGTCGTTCGTTCCACAATTGACACCATCACTGCACAGTATCACCGTAAATGTCACCACAAAGACGTGCCTTTGCTTGGTAAGTGCCTACGACAAGGAGAATGTATCCGTAGATGACAGACAAGGAGCTTGGACTGAAAGAGAATTACCTAAACGCCCAAGAAATTTACCTCAATCTCACTGTAATAAACATTTTCTAGACGCAGAAGGAAATAATTCAACGACAAGACAAAGAAATTCAACAATACTCGAAAGAATGTTCACGATGAAGAATACATTCGAATACTTTCCACTCGAAAAAAAACCTTCGAATTCAGTTACTAAACTATCCCTTCGAATCCTGTTTCCAATATTATTAGAATCATCGAAGAATTTCGAACAATAAGAATAAAAGTGAAAAATGAATTTTCTCAAGAGAATTCGGAAAAAAGAATGCTCGAGGCTTTACGAGAAATGACACTTTTAGTAAGACGAGATCAACCTTCCATTGAAAACGGTAAATGGCTACTGAAAGCTGTTCCGTTTCAAAAAATTAAGAACGATCGAAAATGAAAAAAATAGAAGTATCCAACAGAAAACGACACACTATTCTTAAGAAACACCATAGACAGCAATTTGCGACTCCTTTTATCGAGGACCGCGCGTAACGGAACTAAGGACGAAACGAAAAATCCACGAAACGAAGAAGAAATTCCTCGGGAGTTGTTCTTGACGTGGACTCACCTGTGTTTCCGATTCCAAGCAGAGAAGCGTTCGAGACGTGTTCGAAAGGTGTTCATAGAAAAATTCTCGGCGCACTCGAAGGGCGGTCCGTGTAAAATCCTCTTCTTGGTTGGTCACGGTCACTGCAAGCTCCGGAGATTCCCTGAAGACGGAACTCGTGGTCACCGTTTCTTAATTTCAGTCGAAGGCGCGCGCGTTCGAGTGTTCTTGTTTGCCGACACCACGTCGTCGAACGGTATTTTTCGAGAAAACCAGTAATCTTTCTTTATCCCCCGGAACAGAAAAGAACGATGATCGTCGTAACGGTAAGATCGGTGTGATAATGTTTTGCGTGTGATAACGTTCCTCGCCCCGTCCCGGCCCGTTCGTACAATTTTCTTTCTTAGGTTCTTTTTGCGTTTTTTAGTGGATTTCTTTACTACTTAGTCAAAAATTTAAATAACAAATCGTCCTGTTCTTCTCTCGGCTCGCGCGCGGCCCCGGTGCCTTTTTCCGTGGGGCCCGGCTGACGAACGTGGCCGATCAGCGCGCGGGTAGAGAGAGCTTGGGCTGCGTGGCGGAGCGCGAACTTGCGGGCTTGCGGGCGCACTGGCGCACACGGCACACTCGCACCGCGTAGGCGGAGAGAGGAGAAGCTCCGACGGATGCTGTAAGCCGAAGGGAGAGAAACACGCGCGCCGGCCAGCAGCGGAGGCAAGCCGGCGGCCCCTCTTGGCCGCTGCCCCGGACGGTGGCTCCTCTACCGTTCGACGCCGAAACCTCCCAGACTGCTTCTCCTGACGGCCTATGAAAGCTGCCCCCGTTGGTGCGACCGGACGCGACCGACCGGACGACAGAGAAAGTGAACCGGCCGGACGCGCGACAGAGACTGACTTATCCCACGAAGACTCGGGCACGCGAGAAAGAAGAGACGAAATGGACGGTCCGAATATCAACGCTTCACGCTATTGGCTACGCCGGAACCGTGGATGCATCTGACGAGTCAAAAATTTAACGAATCTAATGATCCGGAGATCGATTACCGACTTCTTGTTCGAATTAAACGAAGAATCTTCGCGATGCATTACGATGGGTTAGGGGTAGATTTTCTCAGGGTGTTCAATTATTTAGTTTCCTCTGATCATGAATTAGCCTGTCGATATATAACGGTATGTAAAAATGAAAGAATTTAGTATTTCTCAGTTAGCTTGAAAGTTAGGCGGAGGGGGTTAAAGATTGATTCGGGAAGAATGTAAACTTAACGTTGGAATAAAGTTCAAATTATTCTGCTCTTGACACGAGACGCAAAATTAGAAGAAGATTGACGTGGAAGTGAAGTGGTTGGCGCACCGAGGCATCTCGGTTTAAGGGAATCTCCTTGGATAGGGGCAACGTTGGTCCAGCAGCCGGCACTGAACGAATTCAGAGGAAGACGATATCAGCGAGGGAGTCGTTTGTGCGACGAGGAGGATCTCGATCGTGGAAGCTTACAACGGAATCGTCGGTGGTGGGTGAACAGGTTACGCTGGTAGAAGGGGATAAATTGCGAGAGGAAGATGACGCGCCGTGACGTCCGGAGGCGCGACGAGGACGATTGCAAACGACACGAACATCCCCGAACTCGTCCGAGACGCACTCGACTGGCCTGGCCGTTCACGGGACGGAGACGGAGTTTGAGCGCCGGCCACGGGAGAGCGAAAGACGGCGAGCCGCGCGGTTGGTGTTGGATAAAGACGAAGAGGACGATAGAATAGACACCGTTAGAAGAACAGAGAGGCACCTTCGCAAGCTGACCACGCGCTCGTACGCTCCGCGACGTCGGAAAGGGACGGATAGATGCGGTGCTGACCACGCTGGACAGGGACGGCTAGCTTTTTTACTTTATCACGTTGCCGACGTGTGTGTACGTGTGCACGTCTGTGCGGGTACGTCGAGGTGTAACGGAGGCTTTCGAGGTGATGATACACGCTGATATTGGCGGGGCTGGACGCACGCGAGCTTCGAACTGGTGCAGCGGAAATGAGAAAGGCTAAGATGGATTCTAAGAACCTTGATGATACTCCAGCCAGCATTTTTTTCCGTTCCAGCGAAACCCACGGTTACATCTCGCTTAGCGAGGCTAGTAATATCGTTGAATACCTTGGGTTGCAGGCGATAGTAATGGAGGAAATATATTCTTGGTCTCTTTTTAATTCGTAGAACATTTTTAAGGGGTACGTGCTCGCTGAATACGCGAATACGAACAATGCCGAATAATAACGATGGCTATGGTTTAGTAATTTCATGCCCGTTGGATAGAGTAGTCTATTCCGTGTTATTTCAATGAAAGGCAGCGCGAGAAAGAGCCCAAGTGATTTTGGTCATGCGCGATTTCAGAGAAAAGAGAGGGTAGCTACCCTTCCTGGCGCGCCAAACGAGGATACGCGCAACCCCTCCGATGCACGTCTATATCGGGTCCCGTCTTCGTGGTGGTAGAGACGCCGCCGAGCTATGTTAGTGTTCGAAAGAAAAATCACCCCTCGTCTGTGGAGTCGTGTCCGCGTGTGCTAAGGGGCTGGAAGGTTGTTTGTGGTGGTGAAAGGGTTGCTGGACAGTGGCGAACTCTTGCTTAGACGGCTGATATCGGAACTAACGTGGAAGCAGTTTGAATCAAAGACTATTTGCCCCTAAGAAGCGTTATCGTTCGTATGATTTTGTTTTTAGCGTTTGGTATTTTTTAGGATAGAAGGCTAGTTTAGTTTGCTAGAGATTTAAAAATCGTGGATAACTTATGAGTCCTGAGGACAATTAAAAACTGAGATTCATGTCCGTATTTGATTATAGATTACTGTTTTATGATAGTGCTATGAAAAATAGTTATTTCTATTTAATTTAGGTGGTACCGTGGTTCTAATTATTAGTTCAAGATTTTATGAGAATTTTTATGGAAATGCTCATTCTTTGAGCTACCTGCTAATGACAGAAGTAGCCAATGAAGAAGCGTGACGTTTAAGCATTTATCTGTCTGAACTGTATACAATTATTTTACCTCATATTTCATTCCACCCCTAAATATACTTTTCCAAATTATTTTATGCTTATCTTCAATTTCATTTGAATTCGCATGTTACTGTTTCGTTTAGTACACCTGACCCTCGATTTACGCGGACTTTTTTCACGCGAACATCTTTTTACGCACTAAATTGGAACACTATTTACAAGGTAGTTTTTACTCGCGATCTAAATTTACGCGATCTGAATTTAGTAACAGCGAATAAAATATACTGTTGTTTTCTAAAATGTCATTATTATTATTTCTTTTGTTAAGCTATGTGAAATAAATATGTATTTCTAACACTTATACTAGCTTTTATCTTTAATATTTTGTTTTCTCTTGTACCGACAGGCTCTATTTACGCGGTTTTCGTTCTCGTAAAAGGAACCCACGTGGAACGGATTTTCGCGTAAGTCGAGGGTCACGTGTATGTGCTATTGTGCGAATCATCATGTTCCATAGCAAACACACGAAGAACCTATACACTGCTTGCGAATTAACTTACTGAATATTAATATTTTTCCTCTCAGGAAATTATTTCAATTTGTTACAATATACTTTAACCAACTGTTAGAGAAAATGAAATTTCTTTTCAAATGACATAGTAATATAAATTAAACTTTTGCATTTATCAAAATCATTATCAATCAGACATTTAATGTTCAATAAGACAATTGAAATTTATTTATTAATTATTTTATGCCTTCAATACATTTAATATATCCAACGTAAGTATTTATTTAAATAAAATTTAAGTTACATTTGTTTAAATAATCTTTTATGAACCTTATATCGCGTATTATAATTCAGGCATCGACACCTTTTTTTTAGAGAAAAAGCAATATCCAACACTTAAAACATACTAAACACGTTATATTGAAATATAATTACTTAATACTTGCTGAAACATGAAACCAAGGTTACTCTAACATTTTTAATAACCTACACGATAGCTGAACACATAACACCTTAGAGAACATAATATATTAAAAAATATTATAGATAAACCAGCTGGCACCAAAATAAACACAACACGCGTAACGGGACACAACAACTCAACTGCAACGAAAACATTTATTCATAATCAGTTAATACGTTAATATAAAATTAATATAAAATCGCGAATGATAAATATCGAGTAAAACCAGGAGACAAATTAATTTCACTTAACATTCAACGGCCGATGCATTAAAACCGGCGCGCACCGGTAAAAGCGAAAGTTCCCGTGAATTAATTTCCAACGTATCAATAAATACTACAAACTCTCGAAAACAAAAGTAGTGTCGAATCCCGCGCGATCTGACGGTCGAAACGCTATGCAGCGTCGCGGCGAACCGCCGCAGT